ACCCGCCCGAGTACCTTATACGTACCTAAAAGTACTTTAAGGTACTTCAGTACCCGAAAGTTCCTGTGACATACTGGTAGCAGGGTACTTTTTCAGGTACCCTTAGCTCAGTACATTCACTAGGGATCATAATAATATTCTTCTATAACTGAGTTTTCTCGAAATGGAGAGGCCTTGTCAGAAACATTATGACCAAAGATACGACGATACTTATCTCATTTAATCAGTGATACGCTTAAAAGCTTAAATTTTAGCAGCGCTCGATAACTGTATCCTAGTTGCTTAAGTCAAAGTAGTTTGACGATGAGAGAGAGAGCATGAAAAGGATTTTTCGGTGGACCATATGCTTCAGGACGTCTAACAGCTTGACGAGTGGCTTTTCCAATATAATTTAAATCACAGTCTTAGCATTTTACATTCTAAAATCTGATAGTAAATAACGTAAAACTAAATGATGTCTGTACTGAGACTACTAGTAGTGATTTCTCAATAACTATTAGGTTAAAATGAGGTCGAATTTAGCTACTAAATTTGCGTAGATCATTTTTAAACATTTAGTAACATTATTCAGAAATGGAACTTCAATAAAAATTCTCTTCTTCTCACCTTTATGAGTGTCCTTATCAATAGTACAACCGATGTATCATTTGCTCAATTTTATTTTAATTAATTTATCAATGAGTTGGAATAAATTCTAACCGTTTCTTTTGGCTATTTCTCGAATTACGTTCAATTCATCATTTAACTATGTATATGTAGAACAAAAGCGGAGTAATTTGAATTGTAAATAGCCTATGTCTTACTTTTGAAAATGACTCAATGAAGAGTTGAAAGATAAAATAAATTTAAGTTATTAAATAAATGACTGCTGTTGCACAATCTATAATGACTAAGAAAGAATATTCCGCGACACGACATTACCGGCAATACAGAAAAGGACATTACCGCGAAGACTCATTTGTTGGAAAAGAAGAATAAATGAGCCTGGTTTTGTATTTTGTATTCGCGGTAATGCCGCTGTATCGAATATTCATATAGCTTAATCCAACCAAAACTAGTTTCAACTTCCAAAACACAATCAAGTGAATAGATTGTATTCATAGAACACTACATAGCCACTTGAAATGTTAAGTATGAGAAAACAGAATTTTTTGTTACTTTTCTAAGTTTGTCAGCATGCAAATGGAGTAAAACAGTGTATTTCGAAAAGTTTCAAATAGTTAAGTTTGATTTTGAGTGAGAAATGATTTTTACGTTTTTGTATACTCATAGCCCAATTTAGGTTATTTTCTTCAAAACTGATGTTCACTAAGTTTTCATATACATTTGCTCAAACCTAGGGATGCTACGAGCTTACGATTGATTTTTCCGACGTTTGGACAAAAGTGCATAAATTTGTACGAACTACAGCAATAAGCATTTTTCTATCAAATGGAAGGTTGTTAAGCACTCAGTGATACTTTGTACCGATTTTACGATTGTTTTACCAATGTTTTACAACCGAGTCTAGGCTCGCTCAAGCTCATTAGGTGTTTGTAATAGAGATCTGCGGCACGGAAATTCCCGTGATCGCGAGCATGCCCGTGATGCCCACAGGCTCGAAAAAGACACGGATGAGTATCGACGGGCAACTGCTTTCACGGACGGGCACGGACAAGCACTCTCGATAGGACCACAGGCATGGACGGGCACGGGCAAAAGAATCTTGCTCGTGCAGATCTCTAGTTTGTAGTATATGAGTACAAACTTACAGGAAATTAATCGTGCAGAGCTTGCTTACACATCATTTTGCAGAACAATGTATGCTTTGCATTTCTAGCAACTCTAAAAAGTTGAGTCTGCCACGCTTCAGCCACTCTCGACAAAGTTTGTAAAAGATGAAAAATAGGCTCATAACATCCCCACTTAAAACAAACACTGCTCCGAGATTCAGAAGGGGATCAATAAGCTATGTCTTTTTGAGGTGTGAAAACCTTAAATTGCATGGTCTGAGAAGTAGTCCCAGGAAAAACTTTCGTACGTCCGAACGGAAGAAGTAGAGATCCCGACTTGCGTAGATCTCTAGAGCAAATATCACCTTGTTTAGATATGCTATCATATAAGAAATTCGATAGGATCTTTGAAAATCGCAGCCTCTGAAAATTTACTCAATGCGGTACACCAGAGCAGATCTGAAATTTGGCTCTTTCATAGGCAAATAACCTTGCGTTTTCCTAAAAAAATTGCAGATTTTGATCGCTCTTCTATCGTGAACTATTTTATAAACAACGGATTATGCTCTATTTTGAAATGAATTAGTAGTAGATACAAAATTTAAAACTAAGATTTATTTGTACCTGTTCTTCAGCTTCGGACAGTTTGGTTGCCAATTTTCGTTTTGCTTCTTCTAACTCGTCGCCACGTGACAGTCCTTCGATTGAAAACAAATATTTTAGTGTCGAACCGACTCATTATCTTTAAACTGTAATCACCTTCCGATTCAAATCGTGCACGCCATTGTTGATTTTCTGAACTCAGTTTTGTCACTTGCCGTTGTAATTCAACTTTTCTCTCTTCTTCTTCTTCCAGTTGTTCACGTGCTTGACCTAAATCGGCTGTCAGATTACGTAGCTGTGACGCTAGAATGCATAATAAAATAAAGAAATAATTATTCCACTGGTTTTTAATGTCATTATTAACACTATTATTATGCACGAAGTTGGAAATCAATTAATAGCTTTTGAACGTTTCCTTCGTATTTCATTAATTTATTAACTAAAAGTTTTGATAGCTGATATTATATACATATATTAAGAGATTGTAGGTCTCTAAACCGTTTTTGTTTTAACTATTGATGAAGGTATATTAACATACCCAAACGTTTAGTTAATAAATTTAATCAAATACGAAGGAAAAGTTTAAAAGTTATTGATTGACTTTTAATGCGTTTATAACTTACTGATAGTATTTTTTGATTGTAATTCTTCTTCTAGAGTGCGTTTTGCATCGTTCGCCTGTTGCTGGATGGTTGTTTTTGATTTTGTTAGCACTGCTATTTGATGTTCAGCATCTTCAAGTTGTTTGAGAAGATCTGAATTTTCTGACTGAAATTTTGTCTTATGTTGATTAAAGTCATTGACTTGTTTCATATGATCATCCATTTTTGTTTGAATATCTGTTAGTTGTTGTTCTAATTGTTTGGATAGTTTTTCCGCTGCTTGTTTACCCTTTGTAACATGATCAATTTGAATACGTAAATCGTCCTGCTCAGATTTTACCGACTGTTTATCTTTTTCCAGTTTGTTTTTCAATTTTTGTAATTGATCAACTAGGAAGAGTGAGAGAGAAGACTATCAACTGAAGTGTTTAAGAAGTGTCATCGTGATTATTTGGAGTAAAATGATGTTGTTGATCAATACTACGGGCAGTTGTTCTAACCCGAAAACAAAACATTATCTATAATCTAAGCGATTTTGATCGTCATATCAAAGAGTGCTACTGAACTCACCGTACATGAACATTTCACAACTCGATCAGCCTTATTTCCGTTCTTTTCTACCAATACGTTGAATACTGTACCGTACTGCAATCGGAATTCATCCGCTCAGCAAGCAGTGATGCGAATGTTTCAAAAACATTTCTTGCTTTTCTCTCGGAAAATCTAGGAAAAAATTATTTTTCATCGTCATACTTTTGTGTACGATGTGAGAAAATATACTTTTTTTTCGTAGTTTAAAACCGATTTTTAAGAACTCCTCGGTTTTACACGAAAAATCCGTTTTATTTGGTCAAAAACCGGTTTTAATCAAAATAAACGTGATATTCGACATAAGACCGTCAAGTTGCATTATAAAACTACAACTTTCAAAGGAAATAATCTCCAGCAACATTTTCCTCGTAGCTGCTCGATGATGATCGTTAGAAAAAATAATTGTTTTTGTTTGTAAGATTTTACTGTGACTAGAGAACGATAATGAATCATGAAAAACGATTTTGTTATTACTGACGTCTGATGTCCGCATTGTAGCATTAACATAATCTAGTCTTCCTTTGTAACAGGCATGCTTGCAAAAATAAAAATTTAGTTCAGTTCAGTTCAGTTCACAGATCAATACGGTCTTCTGTGATCTGAAGATTGTTGTAAGGGAGCATTTCAAAATTCTTGCCGTTCTCTCTGCCGCTCTGCCGTTCTGCTGCGGCATAACGGATTATTTTTAATGACATTTCGATATATTATCGGTTTCTTTTGATATATGTATACGTATACACGCAATTT